GAATTTTCGACTTGGCTGAAGCCTTCCAAATCTCCGCCACGATCGTGGCATGAATTTTTCGACTTGGTTGGAAGCCTTCCTGAAATCTCCGCCACGATCGTGGCATGAATTTTCAATTTGGCTCTCGAAGCCTTCCAAGATCTCCGCCATTGATCGATCGCATGAATTTTCGACTTGGCTATGAGACTTGGCTTTAAGCCTTCAAATCTCCGCCACGGATCGTGGCATGAATTTTCGACTTGGCTTATGAGACCTTGGCTTTCGAAGCCTTCCAAATCTCCGCCACGATCGTGGCATAATTTTCGACTTGAAGCTTTCGAACCTCCGCCACAACGTGATGGAATTTTCGACTTGGCTTTCGAAGCCTTCCAAATTTCCGCCACGATCGTGGCATGAATTTTCGACTTGGCTTATGAAGCTTCCAAGCCTCCGCCACGATCGGCATTTTCGACTTGAGCTTTCGAAGGCCTTCCAAATCTCCGCCACGATCGTGGACATGAATTTTCGACTGGCTTACGAGACTTTCGAAGCCTTCCAAATCTCCGCCACGATCGTGGCATGAATTCTCGACTTGGCTTCTCCAAGCTTTCCAAATCTCCGCCATGATCGTGGCATGAATTTTCGACTTAGCTTAAGACTGGCTTTCGAAGCCTTCCAAATCTCCGCCACGGATCGTGGCATGAATCTTCGATCTGGCTTCCAAGCCTGAAGCTCCCGCCACGATCGTGGCACGAATTTTCGACTTGGCTTATGAGACTTGGCTTCGAAGCCTTCCAAATCTCCGCCACGATCGTAGCATGAATTTTCGACTTGGCTTTCCAAGCCTTCCAAATCTCCGCCACGATCGTGGCATGAATTTTCGACTTGGCTTTCCAAGCCTTCCAAAACTCCGCCACGATCGTGGCATGAATTTTCGACTTGGCTTTCGAAGCCTTCCAAATCTCCGCCAGCGATCGTGGTATGAATTTTCGACTTGGCTTATGAGACTTGGCTTTCCAAGCTCCAAATCTCCGCCACGATCGTGGCATGAATTTTCGACTTGGCTTTCCAAGCCTTCCAAATCTCCGCCACGATCGTGGCATGAATTTTCGACTTGGCTTTCGAAGCCTTCCAAATCTCCGCCACGATCGTGGCATGAATTTTCGACTTGGCTGAAGCCTTCCAAATCTCCGCCACGATCGTGGCATGAATTTTTGACTTATTATTCTGGCTTTCGAAGCTCTAAATCTCCGCCACGATCGTGGCATGAATTTTCTACTTTGCTTCGAAGCCTTCCAAACCTCCGCCACGATCGTGGCATGAATTTTCGACTTGGCTTCGAAGCCTTCCAAATCTCCGCCACGATCGTGGCATGAATTCTTCGACCTGGCTCTCGAAGCCTTCCAAATCTCCGCCACGATCGTGGCATGAATTTTCGACCTGGCTTTCGAAGCCTTCCATCTCCCGCCACGATCGTGGCATGAATTTCACTTGTCTTCCTTCCACTCCGCCACGATCGTGCATGAATTTCGACTCTCGCTTCCAAGCCTTCCATCTCCGCCACGATCGTGGCATGAATTTCACTTGGCTTTACCATCCCCATAATAGTTTTCGACTTGGCTTTCCAAGCCTTCCAACTCCGCCACGATCGTGGCATGAATTTTCGACTTGGCCTCCAAGCCTTCCAAATCTCCGCCACGATCGTGGCATGAATTTTCGACTTGGCTTTCCAAGCCTTCCAAATCTCCGCCACGATCGTGGCATGAATTTTCGACTTCTTTTGACTTGGCTTTCAAAGCCTTCCAAATCTCCGCCACGATCGTGGCATGAATTTTCGACTTGGCTTCGAAGCCTTCCAAACTCCGCCACGATCGTGGCATGAATTTTCTTCAGACTTGGCTTTCGAAGCCTTCCAAATCTCCGCCACGATCGTGGCATGAATTCGACTTGCGCTTTCCAAGCCTTCCAAATCTCCGCCACGATCGTGGCATGAATTTTCGACTTCTATGACTTGGCTGAAGCCTTCCAAATCCCCGCCAACGATCGTGGCATGAATTTTCGACTTGGCTTTCCAAGCCTTCCAAATCTCCGCCACGATCGTGGCATAAATTTTCGACTGGCCTATGAGACTTGGCTTTCGAAGCCTTCCAAATCTCCGCCACGATCGTGGCATGAATTTTCGACTTGGCTCCGAAGCCTTCCAAATCTCCGCCACGATCGTGGCATGAATCCTCGACTTGGCTTTTGAGACTTGCTCTGAAGCCTTCCAAATCTCCGCCACGATCGTGGCATGAATTTTCGACTTGGCTTTCGAAGCCTTCAAATCTCCGCCACGATCGTGGCATGAATTTTCGACTTGGCTTATGAGACTTGGCTTTCGAAGCCTTCCAAATCTCCGCCACGATCGTGGCATGAATTTTCGACTTGGCTTCCAAGCCTTCCCAAATCTCCGCCACGATCGTGGCATGAATTTGGCGCTCATGAGACTTGGCTTTCGAAGCCTTCCAAATCTCCCGCCACGATCGTGGCATGAATTTTCGACTTGGCTTTCCAAGCCTTCCAAATCTCCGCCACGATCGTGGCATGAATTTTCTTGACTTGGCTTCCGAAGCCTTCCAAATCTCCGCCACGATCGTGGCATGAATTTTTCGACTTGGCTTCCGAAGCCTTCCAAATCTCCGCCACGATCGTGGCATGAATTTTCGACTCTGGCTTCCAAGCCTTCCAAACCTCCGCCACGATCGTGGCATGAATTTTCGACTTGGCTCCGAAGCCTTCCAAATCTCGCCACGATCGTGGCATGAATTTTCGACTTGGCTTTCGGAAGCCTTCCAAATCTCCGCCACGATCGTGGCATGAATTTTCGACTTGGCTTTCGAAGCCTTCCAAATCTCCGCCACGATCGTGGCATGAATTTTCGACTTGGCTTTCGAAGCCTTCCAAATCTCCGCCACGATCGTGGCATGAATTTCGACTTGGCCTTCGAAGCCTTCCAAAGCTCCGCCACGATCGTGGCATGAATTTTGGACTTGGCTTGTGAGACTTGGCTTTCGAAGCCTTCCAAAGCTCCGCCACGATCGTGGCATGAATTTTCGACTTGGCTTTCCAAGCCTTCCAAATCTCCGCCACGATCGTGGCGAATTTCGACTTGGCTTCCGAAGCCTTCCAAATCTCCGCCACGATCGTGGCATGAATTTTCGACTTGGCTTATGAGACTTGGCTTTCGAAGCCTTCCAAATCTCCGCCACGATCGTGGCATGAATTTTCGACTTGGCTTTCCAAGCCTTCAAATCTCCGCCACGATCGTGGCATGAATTTTCGACTTGGCTTATGAATTTGAAGCCTTCCAAATCTCCGCCACGATCGTGGCATGAATTTTCGACTTGGCTTTCGAAGCCTTCCAAATCTCCGCCACGATCGTGCATGAATTTTCGACTTGGCTTATGAGTGGGCCTTCCAAACCTCCGCCACGATCGTGGCATGAATTTTCGACTTGGCTTACGAAGCCTTCCAAATCTCCGCCACGATCGTGGCATGAATTTTCGACTTGGCCCGAGCCTTCCAATCTCCGCCACGATCGTGGCATGAATTTTCGACTTGGCTTTCGAAGCCTTCCAAATCTCCGCCACGATCGTGGCATGAATTTTCGACTTGGCTTTCGAAGCCTTCCAAACTTCCGCCACGATCGTGGCATGAATTCGACTTGGCTTTCGAAGCCTTCCAAATCTCCGCCACGATCGTGGCATGAATTTTCGACTTGGCTTTCGAAGCCTTCCAAATCTCCGCCACGATCGTGGCATGAATTTTCGACTTGGCTTTCGAAGCCTCCAAATCTCCGCACGATCGTGGCATGAATTTCGACTTGGCTTTCGGGAAGCCTTCCAAATCTCCGCCACGATCGTGGCATGAATTTTCGACGGCTTTCCGAAGCCTTCCAAATCTCCGCCACGATCGTGGCATGAATTTCGACCTTGGCTTATGAGACTGGTTCGAAGCCTTCCAAATCTCCGCCACGATCGTGGCATGAATTTTCGACTTGGCTTTCGAAGCCTTCCAAACTCCGCCACGATCGTGGCATGAATTTTCGACTTGGCTTTCGAAGCCTTCCAAATCTCCGCCACGATCGTGGCATGAATTTTCGACTTGGCTTTCCAAGCCTTCCAAATCTCCGCCACGATCGTGGCATGAATTTTCGACTTGGCTTTCGAAGCCTTCCAAATCTCCGCCACGATCGTGGCATGAATTTTCGACTTGGCTTTCGAAGCCTTCCAAATCTCCGCCACGATCGTGGCATGAATTTTCGGACTTGGCTTTCCAAGCCTTCCAAATCTCCGCCACGATCGTAGCATGAATTTTCGACTTGGCTTTTAGCTTGCGAAGCCTTCCAAATCTCCGCCACGATCGTGGCATGAATTTTCGACTTGGCTTTCCGAAGCCTTCCAAATCTCCGCCACGATCGTGGCAGAATTTTCGACTTGGCTTGCTTTCGAAGCCTTCCAAATCTCCGCCACGATCGTGGCATGAATTTTCGACTTGGCTTTGGCGGCTTCCGAAGCCTTCCAAATCTCCGCCACGATCGTGGCATGAATTTTCGCGGTTTGGGACTTGGCTTTCGAAGCCTTCCAAATCTCCGCCACGATCGTGGCATGAATTTTCGACTTGGCATGGAATGCCCGAAGCCTTCCAAATCTCCGCCACGATCGTGGCATGAATTTTCGACTTGGCTTTCGAAGCCTTCCAAATCTCCGCCACGATCGTGGCATGAATTTTCGACTTGGCTTACGAAGCCTTCCAAATCTCCGCCACGATCGTGGCATGAATTTTTCGACTTGGCTTTCCGAAGCCTTCCAAATCTCCGCCACGATCGTGGCATGAATTTTCGACTTGGCTTTCGAAGCCTTCCAAATCTCCGCCACGATCGTGGCATGAATTTTCGACTTTTATACTTTTGGCTTTCTCAAGCCTTCCAAATCTCCGCCACGATCGTGGCATGAATTTTCGACTTGGCTTTCGAAGCCTTCCAAATCTCCGCCACGATCGTGGCATGAATTTTCCGACTTGGCTTTCCAAGCCTTCCAAATCTCCGCCACGATCGTGGCATGAATTTTCGACTTGGCTTTCGAAGCCTTCCAAATCTCCGCCACGATCGTGGCATGAATTTTCGACTTGGCTTTCCGAAGCCTTCCAAACTCCGCCACGATCGTGGCATGAATTTCGACTTGGCTCGAAGCCTTCCAAACTCCGCCACGATCGTGGCATGAATTTTCGACTTGGCTTTCCGAAGCCTTCCAAATCTCCGCCACGATCGTGGCATGAATTTTCGACTTGGCTTTCGAAGCCTTCCAAACTCCCGCCACGATCGTGGCATGAATTTTCGACTTGGCTTACCGGAAGCCTTCCAAATCTCCGCCACGATCGTGGCATGAATTTTCGACTTGGCTTTCGAAGCCTTCCAAATCTCCGCCACGATCGTGGCATGAATTTTCGACTTGGCTTATGAGACTTGGTTCGAAGCCTTCCAAATCTCCGCCACGATCGTGGCATGAATTTTCGACTTTGGCTTTCCAAGCCTTCCAAATCTCCGCCACGATCGTGGCATGAATTTTCGACTTGGCTTATGAGACTTGGCTTTCGAAGCCTTCCAAATCTCCGCCACGATCGTGGCATGAATTTTCGACTTGGCTTATGAGACTTGGCTTTCGAAGCCTTCTAAATCTCCGCCACGATCGTGGCATGAATTTTCGACTTGGCTTCGAAGCCTTCCAAATCTCCGCCACGATCGTGGCATGAATTTTCGACTTGGCTTTCCAAGCCTTCCAAATCTCCGCCACGATCGTGGCATGAATTTTCGACTTGGCTTTCGAAGCCTTCCAAATCTCCGCCACGATCGTGGCATGAATTTTCGACTTGGCTTTCGAAGCCTTCCAAATCTCCGCCACGATCGTGGCATGAATTTTCGACTTGGCTTATGAGACTTGGCTTTCGAAGCCTTCCAAATCTCCGCCACGATCGTGGCATGAATTTTCGACCGGCTTGCGAGACTTGGCTTTCGAAGCCTTCCAAATCTCCGCCACGATCGTGGCATGAATTTTCGACTTGGCTTATGAGACTTGGCTTTCGAAGCCTTCCAAATCTCCGCCACGATCGTGGCATGAATTTTCGACTTGGCTTTCCAAGCCTTCCAAATCTCCGCCACGATCGTGGCATGAATTTTCGACTTGGCTTATGAGACTTGGCTTTCGAAGCCTTCCAAATCTCCGCCACGATCGTGGCATGAATTTTCGACTTGGCTTTCGAAGCCTTCCAAATCTCCGCCACGATCGTGGCATGAATTTTCGACTTGGCTTTCGAAGCCTTCCAAATTTCCGCCACGATCGTGGCATGAATTTTCGACTTGGCTTATGAGACTTGGCTTTCCAAGCCTTCCAAATCTCCGCCACGATCGTGGCATGAATTTTCGACTTGGCTTTCGAAGCCTTCCAAATCTCCGCCACGATCGTGGCATGAATTTTCGACTTGGCTTTCGAAGCCTTCCAAATCTCCGCCACGATCGTGGCATGAATTTCTCATTAGACTTGGCTTTCGAAGCCTTCCAAATCTCCGCCACGATCGTGGCATGAATTTTCGACTTGGCTTTCCAAGCCTTCCAAATCTCCGCCACGATCGTGGCATGAATTTTCGACTGGCTTCCTAGACTTGGCTTTCGAAGCCTTCCAAATCTCCGCCACGATCGTGGCATGAATTTTCGACTTGGCTTTCCAAGCCTTCCAAATCTCCGCCACGATCGTGGCATGAATTTTCGACTTGGCTTCATGAATTTTCGACTTGGCTTTCGAAGCCTTCCAAATCTCCGCCACGATCGTGGCATGAATTTTCGACTTGGCTTTCCAAGCCTTCCAAATCTCCGCCACGATCGTGGCATGAATTTTCGACTTGGCTTTCGAAGCCTTCCAAATCTCCGCCACGATCGTGGCATGAATTTTCGACTGGGTTTTCAGACTTGGCTTTCGAAGCCTTCCAAATCTCCGCCACGATCGTGGCATGAATTTTCGACTTGGCTTCCCGAAGCCTTCAAATCTCCGCCACGATCGTGGCATGAATTTCGACTTGGCTTTCGAAGCCTTCCAAATCTCCGCCACGATCGTGGCAATGAATTTTCGACTTGGCTTTCCGAAGCCTTCCAAATCTCCGCCACGATCGTGGCATGAATTTTCGACTTGGCTTTCCGAAGCCTTCCAAATCTCCGCCACGATCGTGGCATGAATTTTCGACTTGGCTTTCGAAGCCTTCCAAATCCCCGCCACGATCGTGGCATGAATTTTCGACTTGGCTTTCGAAGCCTTCCAAATCTCCGCCACGATCGTGGCATGAATTTTCGACTTGGCTTATAGACTTGGCTGAAGCCTTCCAAATCTCCGCCACGATCGTGGCATGAATTTTCGACTTGGCTTTCCAAGCCTTCCAAATCTCCGCCACGATCGTGGCATGAATTTTCGACTTGGCTTTCCGAAGCCTTCCAAATCTCCGCCACGATCGTGGCATGAATTTTCGACTTGGCTTCGAAGCCTTCCAAATCTCCGCCACGATCGTGGCATGAATTTTCGACTTGGCTTTCGAAGCCTTCCAAATCTCCGCCACGATCGTGGCATGAATTTTCGACTTGGCTTTCGAAGCCTTCCAAATCTCCGCCACGATCGTGGCATGAATTTTCGACTTGGCTTTCCAAGCCTTCCAAATCTCCGCCACGATCGTGGCATGAATTTTCGACTTGGCTTTCGAAGCCTTCCAAATCTCCGCCACGATCGTGGCATGAATTTTCGACTTGGCTTTCCGAAGCCTTCCAAATCTCCGCCACGATCGTGGCATGAATTTTCGACTTGGCTTCCGAAGCCTTCCTCCGCCACGATCGTGGCATGAATTTTCGACTTGGCTTTCGAAGCCTTCCAAATCTCCGCCACGATCGTGGCATGAATTTTCGACTTGGCTTCCGAAGCCTTCCAAATCTCCGCCACGATCGTGGCATGAATTTTCGACTTGGCTTTCGAAGCCTTCCAAATCTCCGCCACGATCGTGGCATGAATTTTCGACTTGGCTTTCCAAGCCTTCCAAATCTCCCGCCACGATCGTGGCATGAATTTTCGACTTGGCCTTCCAAGCCTTCCAAATCTCCGCCACGATCGTGGCATGAATTTCGACTTGGCTTCCGAAGCCTTCCAAATCTCCGCCACGATCGTGGCATGAATTTTCGACTTGGCTTTCGAGGCCTTCCCAAATCTCCGCCACGATCGTGGCATGACTTTTCTCGACTTGGCTTCGAAGCCTTCCAAATCTCCGCCACGATCGTGGCATGAATTTTCGACTTGGCTTCGAAGCCTTCCAAATCTCCGCCACGATCGTGGCATGAATTTTCGACTTGGCTTACCAAGCCTTCCAAATCTCCCGCCACGATCGTGGCATGAATTTTCGACTTGGCTTTCGAAGCCTTCCAAATCTCCGCCACGATCGTGGGATGAATTTTCGACTTGGCTTACCAAGCCTTCCAAATCTCCGCCACGATCGTGGCATGAATTTTCGACTTCGCTTAGACTTTCCAAGCCTTCCAAGTCTCCGCCACGATCGTGGCATGAATTTTCGACTTGGCTTTCCGAAGCCTTCCAAATCTCCGCCACGATCGTGGCATGAATTTTCGACTTGGCTTCCGAGAGCCTTCCAAATCTCCGCCACGATCGTGGCATGAATTTTCGACTTGGCTTTCCAAGCCTTCCAAATCTCCGCCACGATCGTGGCATGAATTTTCGACTTGGCTTCCGAAGCCTTCCAAATCTCCGCCTACGATCGTGGCATGAATTTTCGACTTGGCTTCCGAAGCCTTCCAAATCTCCGCCACGAGTCGTGGTATGAATTTCTCGACTTTTTGACTTGGCTTTCGAAGCCTTCCAAATCTCCGCCACGATCGTGGTACATGAATTTTCGACTCCTGGCTTATAGACTTGCTTTCGAAGCCTTCCAACCTCCGCCACGATCGTGGCATGAATTTTCGA